CGCCCCCTCCCCCGGGACTGAGGTGCTGGCACCTGCAGCTGCGCTGGCCGCCTCTGTCTCTGTGGCCGCTGTTCCTGGCCGCGCTCTCCAGCAGCAGCTGTCTTCTGGGGTGCCCAAGCTGCGCGCACAAGGAGAGGCCTCCTGGGACCAGGGTTGTGAAGACTCACTCCAGAGTCTGCCTCGAAGGCGCTGCCGGTCAAGGCAGGCGCCGTTCCTTTCTGGACACCCTGGCCCCCTCCTCGCTTGGTCTGGTCTGTGCGGGGCCCCCATGCTGGGGTCACCCCATCAGGACAATGACGGCTCCTCAGCCATCGACTTCCGTACCTAAGCATGGCAGATGAAGCCGAGCAAAGCAACACCGAATTTAATAACGCCGGGAACCGGGAGAGCTCTCCAACCCAAATCAATCCTCGATGTGTTTTTAATTAAGTTATAGCCCTTGTGATTAAAGAGTGTGAATTTCATTACTGTGACCATTTATCAAAGAGCTGAACCTTTCCAATAGGCAGGCCTTTTTATTTTCATCAACACCAAGTGCCCTGCTTGCATCCCGACTGAGTCATCAGGGAGAATTGTCTCCCTCCCAAGCCGCCCCCCGCTCGGTAATGACAAACCCCCTGCCCACCCCCGCGCTGCCCGCGAATAGGCCAAGGCAGGTGAGTGTGAAACCTGGTTTGGTTCGAGTGTCCCCCCGCCCTCCAGCCCGGCTGTCCTGCTGCCCGGGCCCAGATGCCAGGATGCGTTGCGGCGAGCCTGAGGCCCTGGCCCCTGGGGCCGGCTCACCGCTCACGCTTCCCCGGGAGGGGGACTCCCCGGGGACTCGGTTGTGAATGTCAGCTCCCTCAGCACTGGGGGCAGGTCCGGAGCTCCCTCAGCACTGGGGGCAGGTCCGGAGCTCCCTCAGCACTGGGGGCAGGCCGCTTCAGTGCTGGAGAGGGCAGCAGGAGGCGGGACACACACTGGAGTCCACTACAGACACATGATGTGGGGGGCTGTCATTTGCATTTCCCTGATGACTCCTTTGGCCTTTTGTGTAGACCCTGGTGAAGTGATTACTTGGGTCCTTTGCCAAAGTTTCCATTAGGATGTCTGTCTTGTTCTTATAGATTAGTAGGAATTCTTTATAGGTTCTACATAGTTCTTTGGATATACATCTTGGACATGTATCTCAAAGAACCAGCTGTAACATATACTGCATAAAGAAACCCTAAAAATCACTGTGAAAAAGACAGGCTTTTCAATAGAAAATTTTGACAAGGAGCCTGAATATACATTTATTTATACATCTATATCTAATGTCCAGCTCGATCTCTCTGTATACCAAATATCTTCTTCCCTCTCTGAGGTTGGCCTCTTTCCACTCAATGTTTGTTTGTTAAACAAAAGTTACCAATTTTATTTTTTAAAGATTTATTTATTTTTATGCATACAAGAACTGGGGTGTAGGCCAGAGGTACAGAGGGTGAGAGGATTCACCAGAGACAGAGGAACAGAACAGGCAGATCTACTGAAATACACTGCTGAGGGGAGCAGCGGGGGTAGACAGGAGAGGTCTGCTGTGTCATGTGGGTCAGCTCCCTGGCCTGGGATCGAACTCAGGCGGCAGTGGCTATGGACAGCTTCACCAGGGAGACTCCTGAAAGTTATTGATTTTAATGTCATGTAATTAATTTTTTATATGGTTATTGCACTTAATGTCCCATGGAAGCTATCTTTACCTACACTGAGGTTGAAGATATTCTACATTCCTCTAAAATATTTTTTACCTTTTATATTCTGCCTAGAGTTGGTTTGGGTATATGGTGTGAGGGAGGAGTCACAATGTATTTTTTCTATATGATGTTCATTCAGCCCATAGCAATTTGTTGAATAGACAGTTTTTTCATAGCCATGTAATGATGTATGGGTGTGTTTCTGGACTCTTTTTTTGGCTACCTTTTCAAACTGTCTTTTGAGTATCCTTGCACAAATATCACCCAGTCTTAGATACATCATGCGGTAATGGGGATTGAGTCAAATCAATGCATTAATGTGGAAAAATTTGATAGATGTTTACAGTAGTCTTCTAACCCATTACTGGCTCATCCCACCTTTTATTTACATCTTCTTCATTTCTCCCAATGTTTTCTTATTATCAGTGAAGAAGTTTTGTGTACCTTTCACTGGATTTATTGGTAGGTGTTTGATGTTTTTTGGTAGGATTATAAATGGTATTTTATTTTATTTTATTTTCTATTTATTCATTGCAGATAAAAAAATGTAGCTGGTTTTTATGTATTGACTTTGCATCCTGCTACTTTAAGGATTCTAGTAGTTTGTAGATTTGATGGGATTTGTTTTATGTCCAATCATGTACTCTGTGAATAATAAACTTGTTTACTCTTTTGTAATCATCCTTTCCCACCAGCTTTGCTTATATAACTGAGCTAGATTGGACCAATGGTGTAAGTGATGATTATGGCAACTTTTTCTCATTCCCAATCTATGGATAAAGATTTTAATATTGCACTGCATACTGTGATGGTTGCTGTAGTTTTCAGTTACTTCTTTTTATCAGATTACAAAGTTGCCTCTGTTCCTTCTTGGCTGTGAGATTTTTTTAATGGAGAATGGCTGTAGAATGTTGCCAAATTTATGTCTGCATCAATTTAAATCATTGTATGATTTCTCCCTTTTTCTCTGTTAATTTTATTAATCACGTTGATTGATTTTTTTAATATTAAACCACCTTCACATGCCTGTAATAAACCTCGATTGGATGTTGAATTAGATTGTGTTTCCCCAGAAACAGATACTAGGTCAAGAATTACAGTACAAGTAAGTTATTTAGAAGATGACTTCTGAAAACCCCAGAAGGAATGTGAATATGACCAGCTCTTCCTCTCCCTCTGTGTGTATGTGTATGTGTGTGTGTGTGTGTGTGTAGTTGGGCAAGAAATATACATAAATGTGGATGCACGGGCATATATACAAATGGAATTTGAATGGAGCCGGGGCTATATGCATATATTTATGTGTGTATAGAAATCTATCTATCTATCTATCTATCTATCTATCTATCTATCTATCTATCTATCTATAGATATATTGGCTTTGCATTTACAAATATTGGCTAATATGTTGTTAAAGATTTGTGTTAAAGATTTGTTCATGGGAGAAATTGATTTATGTTGTTCCTTTCTTGTAATATTCTTGTCAGGTTTTGCAATCAAGGTTATGGTGAACTAATACAAAAGGAAATGCTCCCTCTTTTTCTACTCTCTGCAAGAGCTTATGCCAAGTTAGTGTCATTTCTTCATTAAATGTTTGGAAGTATTTGCAAGTGAATCCATTTGGGTCTGCGGGTTCTTTGGGATAGTTTTTCATGAATATTCAATCTCTCTAATATCCAGTGGGCTACTCAAATTTTCTGTTTTTTCTTCTGTCAGCTTTGGAAGTTGTATCGATTTTGTTTTTTACTGTAAGAAAAAGAAACTTCCAAGCACAAGAGAACATCTAACTTGGTATGTCATCTGAGATAAAGGACACTTGCAGAGATGTAGCCAGTTTCCCTGCCTGTTCCAGGCATGCAAAAGGTCAAGTTTATTTGTGATAGGAATGGAGTTGTCAAGTCAAGACCACAAGGTGATCTGGAGGCAAATGCTAATGCATTGACTCTAAAGTATTTCCATGTTATCAACAGACCTCCGTGACTATGTATATTGGAAATAAATGATTGGCATTCACAAATGTGCCTTGGAGCACATATGGATAGCACAGCACCAAGGACGTCAGTTGTAGAAGGCCAATGTGACAAATCCATAGAAATAATGATTCCCGGTTAATAGCCAATGGTACGTGTAGATTTTATCAGCTCCCCCCCTCCTCCAGAGTCTGCTCTTATTTATGCCTCTGCCAATGCTTCCCTGCAATGCCAAGTGCTCCCCAAGTCACCACCAAATCACAGGGTTTGATGAATCCGTTGCCAGAAATTCATTGCTAACACTACTAACACCAACCATTAGTAGTTCCCAAGTCATAATCCCTCCCAGCTCAGCTTTTGGGAACAATTCATAAAGAAGGTGAGTGTGAATTCTGCAGCTCAGACAGTGGGATGTCTTGAATAAGGTGAGGGCACTGGTGCAATCAAAATCAAATGGGGTTTGTTTGGCACTCCTGCAGAACACAGAGTGGCACTTTTTAACCATCGGTGCACACAGGTTACAGTGGTAGCATGGAAACTGACGAAAGAACAATGTAGGTGCAGGTGTCTAATAAATGTCCATGCCTGGGATGCAGGATGCAGGACCAGGAGGGAAGAAGTAACTGAAATACCTTCTGGATAGAGCAGGGGAGAGGCATCAGCCTTTGCAAGAGTCGACAGAATTTAATGATAAAACCTTGGTCAATTTCAATCTTTTGTATTGGCCCAGGAAGGGTCTTTCGCTGACCAGAGTCCCCAGCGCCACGGTCAGTCTTTGGCCTGAGCAGAGAGGATGGCTGCTGCCCAGGGCTTGCAAGCTCAGCTCCTGGTTCTGCTGGGCCACTGCCTTGTCTCCTCTCTCCATCACTGTCATTCTTCAAGGTGGTAGGTGGATGGAGACCTTGAACTCACTAGGGGTGCAAGGATTGGGTAGCTGGGAGAAGTTGGGCACTTTTGGTTCATTTCATTTCCTTTACCCCAGAACCAAGTCCCTGAAGCTTTAGATGAACATACTCTGGAGGTAGCAACTTGGGCACGCAGGAGAGTTGGAGTGAAGTCCCATTTTTACCGTTAAGTGGCTGCATGGCCCTAGGAGCTGTCCTGCCCTGCATGGTGTCCCTGAGTGTCTGATGGTCTGCCTCCAGCTTTTCTAGAGCTTTCCACTCTTAGCAATTATGAGGGACCCCAAAAAGCTCTTGGTTGTGCAAGGTATCCCGATTGATATTTTCAATTTTAGGAATTTAAACTGAGAAAACTTTTAAAATGTTTACTTACTAATCCATTTAAGAATAACACTCATAAGCCCATTACACATGGACATAAATAACTATATTTTCCCAAACAAAAATTATCAGTGACAAGAATGACATCGTTTTACATTTTTTGCAAATCTATTCAGTGTCAGGCTTAATAGAAGACAGCTGGATTCTTGTATCTGCTTCGGTCTGTTGTGATATCACATGCTGTGTTGTCTTTAGAAATATTCACTGTGCAATTGTGAGGTAGAGCGGGAAAGGCAGACACATCTTGGTGTCACTAGGAAAAGAGTTTTCATCTCCTGGGCCCCAGAATGGGTCTCGGGGACACTCAGGTGCCCTTGGGCCACACTGTGCCAACCGCCCCTGGAATAACCGGGACTGCCCTCCCCTGGAGCAAGTGACAGCAGAGCGCATGCCCAGCCCCCACTCCAGGTCTCGTCCTGGACCAGCTGAACCCCCTCCAACGCAGTGATGCTTGAGATTTTGGGGGAGGGGGCGGCTTCCCCATGCCCAAATCCTGAGAGAAGTGAGTTCTTTTATTTCCAGAATCCTTCTCTGCATCAGAGCGAGGCCACACAGATGACCATGTCCACTTACTAACTCGGGATCTGGAATCGGTGCCAAGTTCATAAAGACACAAAAACCCGATAGACATGAGCGAGCAAATAGGCAGAAGGTGTGTTCAGTTTCTCAGTAGAGAAGCGGGGTGCCCGAGGGAAGCTGGTGCACCGAGTGGAGTGGGTCTTCTCACCAGCAGCTGCTCGGGGCGGAGGCAGTGACAGTCACAGGCGTCCTCGGCCTGGGCGGCACTTCCCTGTGCGGGACCGCAGCCCCAGGAGGCTGAGGTTTGGACAGGAGGGAGTCGCTGTCAGGTCTGTATGGGCGTGTCCAGGGTGGGTTAATTCCCCTGCCTCTGTGCCCCCATCTATAAAACGGAGAGGGTCACAGCCTTGTTCTTTTGCTGGCCCAGAGGCACCTCGGCAGTGGAGCGGGTCAGAGAAGGCTGTGGAAATGCTGGTGGACCCTGAAGATGTCAAGACCCCTCCGGAAGAGGCCGCAGAGCAGGACTGAAAGCTACAGTCTCTGGCCATCTTAGGCACTGATGGCCAAGTTCCCCCAACCCAGTCCTCTCTGCTCCCAGTGAATCCTATCTCCGCTCTGGCATGATGGGCGCTGGGGCAGGGGCTTTCTGTTCTCAGCTTCTTACAAGCTTAGCTGAAGCTCCCACCCCCAGCCCCTGCTAAGGTGGTATCTCTGCCAAGCCCCGGAGCCAGCTCTGGCCAAGTGGCCAGGCGGTTTTGCATCTCCATAGAAGCTTTTGCTGTCCCAACCTCCTATCAGTTGCTGGACAAACTGTGACCTGTCCCCAGGTAGGCTGGCCAGCCGAGGCTGACAATAGGTCCTGATCCCCAAAATGACCGTGGACAGCACCTGGCAGAGGGCCAGGATGTTGCCAATGTCAAGGGGCACTCAAGCCTTGTTGCTGTGGCTGCTGGAGGGATCATATGGTATCTTATAGAGGACGCAAAGGAGGGTTCCAGAAGCAGCAAAGGGTAAACAAGTACAGACTTCTTTAACTGCTCTCTAGAGAATAACGCCCCAGGGCCATGAGCTCTGTGCCAAGCCCTGTGCTGAGGGCTTTATAGCCGGGATCCTGTTGGTACATGGATCTCACTGGAACTGTTACGGAGCAGCCCCGACATAAAACGGGTTGCCTGGCTGTGGGTCCTCACCCGCGCGCTTAAAAGGGACTTATGAATACTCCACTACAGCCACACACACAAATTACACTAATACCAAAACCGAACAAGGACAACACAAAAAAAGAAAACTACAGGCCAATCTCGCTCATGAACACTGATGCAAAAATCCTCAATAAAATTTTAGCTATCAGAATCCAACAATGTATCCTTTTCCCCCTAACAGAACCACGACAGGGCAGCATGGGAAGGGAAATGCAGGCTAGTTGCTTGTTTCAGTCAGAAGGGTCACCCCCCACCCAAGGTCTTGCCACCCTCCACGGTCTGTCAGCTTAGGGACAAGCCAACTTGGAGAAAGAGTACTTACCTGGAGGGGCCTGGAGTTTAACTCAGGGTGGGCCCCGAAGGGAGCCGCCCTCCGTGAGGGCCTCTCTCAGGAAGACCTCATCGACTTGTCTCTTGCTGATGGAGCCGCCAGAGCTTACTGTGCATATCTTTGTCTGCTGTGCCTTCTCTGGTAACCCCCTAACTGGCCTTCCCTCTCTTCCCCCATCCCCTCGTCTTAGCGCAGCCGTGTAGCTGGTGTCCGAAGCCTTGTGTGTGGGTCACTCTCAGGCCAGGTCTTTCGCAGGAGGTAGACATGTGATTGTTAAGCTGCTTTCCTCCTCTTATCAATCTGTGTGATGGTTGTTTATCTGCCAGCCTAGAAGAACCCAGAGGGATGTGGGGTGGTGCTGGCACAGGCTCACAAAATGCCAAGAGCTGGTGGTGGGGGTGGACCGCTTTAGCACAGCCATTGTCCCAGCTATGGACACCAAGATCCTTAGGCGCCAACGCCCAAATTACAAAGCTTAAGATCCAAGCAGGTATCAGACTGCTGTAGGGAGTGTCTAGAGCACAGGCCCAAGGGCAAAGATACGGAGATGGAGCCCAACAGACCCCCAAGGGTAAAGATATGGAGATCGAGCCCATTGTGAAATCTCCTTCCCTTTCAGATTCTGCAGTTACCCAAATCAGCAGCAACCAAGGCTCACAAGGAGTGCGCCCCTCCCACAGAGAAGAAGATTGTATCAGTGCAGTCTCTGCACAGGCTTGGGGCAGCACTCCCTGTGCCCACCTGTGCCCATGCAGGTCCTTCTTTTCACCAACTCTCTCCCTCCGCTGGGCAGCAGCTTCCTGCCTGCCTGTGACCTGTAGCTGCCGGGACTTCTCACTGACCTCCCTCAGCAGAGGCCGCTCCCCTCAAGTCCCCCCACCGCCTGCAACCACGCAGGCCTCTCTCAGCAACCGGTCCCTTTTGGGGCAGCCCTTCCTGCCTGCTGTGTCCATGCACGTGTCTTTTACTCTTCCATCCCTTTCCCTAATAAGCCTGCCCTTTAAATATAACGACCATCTCTGTCTCGTGGAGAAACTCGCCTGGGAAACTCGCCACGTGTCACTGAAAGGGGAGCTCTGGGGACACCTTTCCCGGAGTGTACCCAAGGACCCTGCACTCCGAGCCCACAGACTCCAAAAAACGACAACATAACCTAGGTGGCCTCCGTGCTGCTCCAGACTCCTGCGACAGGAAGCAGGTACAATCGGGAAGGGGGTGGAGGTGAGCAGTGCCCTTCCCTGGAGAGAGAAGAGCCTGGGCAGCTCTCAGGGGCTCTTCCCTCCTTTGTGGCCAAACAGCAGTAGGCAGATCAGGTTGAGGCACCAGCGAGAAGGACAGAGCTCTGCATTCTTCCTCCCTGAGGTACCTCCCTGTGGTCGCAGTGGGCGGCACGGGAAAATGCAATGGTTGACAGACGTGTGGTGTTTTGTAATGTGAAAATTAAAATCCCCAGGAAATGCTGGCATTCTTTCTCCTCTCTCCTTCCCCACCCCCTTGCTTTGAGCCCCATCCCCTCCCCCACCCAACACCTCCTGCTCTTCCTCTTCTCCTGTTGTTTTTTTTTTCCCCTGGCTCATTTCAATTTCCACAAACTTCCTAGCTCTGAGAACGACTCTCTGCCTGAGGCTTGGACTTCAGACCCTTTAAAAGCCACTTTGAATCCTTAAGGTCTCAACAAATTCCTCCTCTGTTTGAGCAACTGTGGGGGCTTCTAGCTGTCAGCGTCACCAAGTTTTGTGGGGACTGCTCACGCTCCCAGGAAATCCCAGTGCCTTTGTGAGCTCCAGAGTCTGGGCAAGTTCGAAAAATTTAGTTTTATTTTGAAAACTATTTCTATGGGCACTTCTAAGTAATTTCCTGAAGTTTCTACTATATTCCAGACTTCGGTCCAGTTAAGTTCTGTGAAACTCAAACTTTTCTTTCTAGGTTTCTACTACTCTGTAAGTGTGACAATGTGGAGAAGTTTCCTTCCTTTAAGCATAGATCAGATTGAAAGCTCCATGGAGCCTGCCCAGCTGCTTCCTGCAACACCTCAGCGCGCAGCGCGCGTGCTCCCACCGCGTCAGACGGACTAAGGTGAATTTAGTGCCCTTTCTGGGGCACAGAGGCTGCCCCTCTGAAATACCACCTGTAAAATGGTACCATTGTTATAGGGCAGCCCCGAATAACATCCTTTTCCCCCTAACACCATTTCTGAAGTATTTTCGCAAGCATGTTTGATTTCCGCCTCGTCATCATTCTGGGCATTACCAGGGCAATGTCCCTATCCCCACTTTCAGGCCAAGGGCACCCCCAGGGTCACCCAGTGAGGCCCTGGAGTGGAGCTCCTGGGATGGTGAAATTGAAAGTGGTGAAGTTTGGAGATTACTGTGCCAACCCTGCCTTGTTCTAGAAATGTGGACACTAAAGGCCCCCAAAAGGGCACAGGCTCCTCAGATTGCGGGATGCCCGGGCCACGTGCGTGCTTGTAGGAGGACCGTTTGTGTCTTCTGAGAGACAAGAAACCTCAGGGCAGGGAGGCTGGGCAGAAGTCAGTCCGGAAGCGCCGACTTGAGCCCGCAGAGCTGCCACAGAGATGCTGCTGGCAAGTCACTGTTTTGTAAATTGAATCTTTAACCCCCTGGGGTTCCATCTATGGCAGCCCCGTGAGAACTGCTTTTAAGAAGCTAAGGGTCTTCTTGTCATGCAAATCACCACCCCCTAATTGGCCTGGTTTGTAACTTCTGTGCCTTCCTCACTTAAGGGGGCCAGGTCCCTCTGTCACCATCTTGCGTTTTCATTTTGTTTCCCTTAAAGCAGGGAAGGTGCCAAGGTTAACCGGGACCTCAGGAATGTCTTGGCCACTGGCTGCCTCCAGGCCGGAGAAGACCCACCAGGCCCGGGCAGACCCGTTCCCGCCCTGGCCTGCCCCGCCTCTTGGAGGTTGGTGCCGAGCAGTTAGTTAACGGGAAGCGGGGAGTGCAGGTGGCACCTGTACCACCTGGAGCCCTCTCTGAAGAGAGTGCCCGCATCCTCCAAGGCTGGCAAGGAATACCAATCGCATGGTTACTGAGCCCCCACTGGAGCCCGCGAGAGGAAATTAACAGGCATGCACACGCCTGGAATAAAGGGCCCTCTTCTTGCAGATAATCACCCAAATTGGTCACTAGGATGCCCCCTCCCCCTTTGGCGAAAGACATAGTCTTTCTCTTATTCTGTTCCCTCAGTGCATTCTGGGAAATGTCAGGGGCCAAGCTGTGCACGGGTGTCCCTCCCCCCCCCCCCCCCCGCCGCTCCCAGCACAAGGGGCAATGTTTGTCCTGACGCAGGGAAGGAGCTTCTCACACAGGCCTCTCAGGTGGGAGCCTGGCAGGCATAGCCGCAAAGCCTCTGGCAGGCCCCTTGGCGGCTACAGACACCCCCTCCCCCTCTGCGTGGGCTCCACAGCCCAGTCAGGCCCCCCACTGCCATTTCACCTGGACGAAGTGCCAGAGTGACTGAGGTGGTAGTCAGGGCCTGCGCTCGGGCTGGCCTGTGTCTCCTGTCCCGACACAGAGCAATGGGGGAGCCTCTTTGCACCCCTTTGCTGAAGTCTGGATGGCCCCTGGGGAGGAGCAGCAGAGACCTGGGGCTGCCCCACTGGACAGCAGCAAACGCTGGCCAGGCCCACAGAAGGTGTCCTCTGACATCTTGGCCCTGTCCCCTGTTGCAGAGATGAGAACTTAGCCTCCTGTGGGGACACACTGAGGGTAATGGGAAATCATAATCATCACACTGTAGCGGATTGAATGGTGGCACCTAAAAGATGTCCACCCAGAAGCTAGGAATGAGACCTTACTTGAAGCAAGGTCTTTGCAGATGTCATGTAGTAAGGGTCTCGATGCTCAGGATCCTCCAGGTGGGTCTCACATCCCACAGCGGTATTCTTGTGACAGGAGGCTGGCCGCACACGGCGAGGTGATGAGAAGGTGGAGGCAGATACGTGGCCACAAGCCAAGGAACACCTGGGGCCACGAGAAGCTGGAAGAGGCAGCTCTTGGAGCTCAGAGCGAGTGTGGCCATGCTGACACCCTGATTTCAGATTTTGGGTGCCTGTCTGTGAGAGAACACACACACACACACAATTCTGCATAAATGAGTACATTTCTATTTTAAGTTACCGATTGGTGGTAATTTGCTAATGGGGGTCACAGCAACAACACCAAGGAGAGGGAGAAGGACGCCGGGGAGAACAAGGAGGGGCAAGGGAGGAGAGTAAACCACTAGCGGTAAAGCTAATTCTTACTCAGGTCCTACCCAGAGGCCAGGCAGCCTCTGTACTGGGTGCCAGGGACCCTGGACCCATCCCAGGGAACCACCACTGTGGCCCCTGGCACCCGGAGCCCTGGCAGGGGGACCTCGGGTCTGCCTGGCTGTTGGGGTGGGGGGAGTGACAGGGGTTAGAGGTCACTTGCAGGTCCCTGTCTGCAGATGAACTTTCTGAGAGGGTTTAAGCCACAACGATGCCCCCAGGGCTCTGAGGGAGGTGGCCCTGGAGTTGGCCCCCAGGGATGGCACATGACCAGCCATCGCCACGATCAGACTGCATGACCAGAGAACTTTCCACCAAGAAGTGGAGTCTGAGGCACACTCGGTGCTGGGGAATGCAGTTCTGGGGTTGCCTTCCCCAAGCACATTTTTTTCTCTTCTGGGATGCAAATGGGCCAGAAACCTGAGCACCCCCCAGCCCTTCCATTCTCTTCTCCAAACAAAGCCTGCGTATTCATCCTAAATATTTCCCACCTCGCCGGGCCATCACTGGGGGCGGGGCCCTGGCGCCCCTCAGGAGGGGGTGCGCCTGCTCCTGTTCCTTGGGGCCCCTTTGCATACAAGCGTTTCTCCTGCTGGGACAGCAAAGCGGCCCTGGGACAGAGTTGCAAGAAGCGCTTGCAGTGAGGACAGGACCCGAGTTGGGAGCTGGGTGGGGGTGGGGCGGGGAGGAATTGTCACCTGCGACTGTGACTGGCAGGTGAAGCGGAGCGGCTGGCTTCCCCGCGGGCCTGAGGACGTTCAGAGCCCTGCCTGGTCTCACACGTGAGTGCTGCGATGGTTGGCACTGCGCGCGGGGGCATCTTGCCCTTCCTGCTGCTGTATTTCTTCCTGGAAAACTATTATCAAATCATCTCATCTTATCAACCACCCCATCTTAATACTGTGGACACAGGACTTGGGTTTGAAAGTCCTTTGGCTCTCTCTGGCCCGAGGGCACCCCTTGCAGTGGGTGACTGTCCTCAGCTTGCGGTGGCCAGACACTGCCACCCCAAACTAGTTCAAAAAAATCTTATGAAATCCTTGCAGCAAAAATTACTTTCTTATTGCAAGTCTAGAATTCTCTAGTCCCTAGGCCTTCACTTTGTGTTTATAATATGATGTTGACAGGGGCATTTTTAGGAGCTCAGCTCCACATTGGAGCCCAACATGGGGGTAGGGGCATCAGTATGAATTACCTCCCCCTAATTCATCTCCTGCTAATTATGCTTATTCACATGGCCGGCTCCTTGGAAGACCAAGAGGGCGAGCTCCTGGAGGGCAGGGAATTCTGCCTGTCTCTCCTGGAGCCAGCGGCACATAGTAGGCTGGCTCCCAGCAGGCGCTGCACAAAGGTCTTTAATGGAGTGAGTGAAGAAAATGAAGTCCCTGGACGCACACTCCGAGAGCTCACCACAGTAAAAGGCAGAGCTGGGTCACAAACTCAGGGCTGATGTTTCCCAGGGAGCAGTTGTGGGCACCTGGAACAGACTGCAGGGTGCTGTCTAGTGGGGACTGGGCATGGCAGCTGGCCGCGGGCGTGGTGCTCGCTTCCCCTGCAGCCAGAGTTGCCGAAAGGAGGAGCTCATCTTCGCTCAAGGCAGGAAGCAAAGAGCAAGGGATCTTGGGGGCACCTGACAGACACCCGCCTGGGGCAGGGTAGCCTGACTTCCGCGTCTGTGCCCAGGGCTCTGGCGAGGTGGCAGAGGGGGTGGCCTGGCGGGAGCCGGGACCTCTGGCAGCGCCTGCTGCGCCGCATGCATGTCCTGCACAGTCCCGGCTGCGCTTTCCTCGGCCTGTGGCGTTGGCGTTCCTCGGCCCGCAGATAACGAGAGCATCGCAGCGCGAGGAGCCTGGGAGACGCTGTGATTCTGGAGCCGAGGTGAAACTGGCATATGAGGACACCCCCAGCTCGGGGATCCCACCACTTGCCACAGCCTGCTTTGAGGCCTTGCTGGCAAAGCGCAGTTGCTCTCGACCCATGGCCACTCTTAGCCGGAGGCCACTGGGCAGGCAGCGGGGGCAGTGTGTGTGTGTGGGGGGGGGGGACTTGCAGGCATCCCGCCTGCTACACCACCAGTTGTGGCCAGTCAGAGGCCAGCCAGGGAAGAAGTCTTGTCAGGAGGCTGCATCCCCAAAGCAGGTTTATAATCTCTGCTGGGAGGGACAGTCGAACAGACCTGCTCGAGAAACCAGGCTTGCTCGTGTGAACCAGGCTTGCCCACCCTCTTTGGAGGCAGCTGAGGCTCTGCCTCAGGCTGCAGTTTGCTGGTCAGTTACTCTTGCAGGTAGCGGAGGCATGTGGGGAGCTGCCCTGGGCCAGCGGGCTGGCGAAAGAGAAAAGGCTTAGACAACTCACTTTAAATAATCTGGCAAGTGAATCTCCTTTCTTTATTCACCAGCGATATTTGCACCTAAATGGCCTCTTTGTTTCTGGGGATTTGGGTCCACAGCCAAGGCAGGGCCTGGGGAGGACGGGGCTGAGTCTCAGGAAGGGGAGAGGGTGCCAGATTGAGATATGGCTGCAAAGTCTAGAGGTGGTGGGACCTGGACGTGGCTGCTCAGCCGCCACCCTTGGCCAGCAGCGCCCTCCCCCCGCCCCTGAGGTACCTCGAGGGGCTTTAAGCTTAAGACTGAGCTTTCTTGAGCCACAGGGGCCACCAGCCAAGGATCTGGCTTCCTCCCTGAGCTGAGCGGCCCGGGCAGTTGGCAGGAGGCTCGGCTAAAGAGAGGAGAGGCTGGGAAGGCGGGCATGGGTCTGCGACCCGGGGCTTGGACTGGTGCTGCCTGGCCGCTGGGCCTTCACCCGGTCGTGGTGGGGCACAGGGGCCCGATCAGGTAAACGCTTTCTGAAAGGAAGGCTGAAGAAGAAAGGTGCGCCCCCCACCCCGCCCCCACCCCCACCCCGCCCCGGCACCCGACTAACTGAGCTTCTCTCTGAGGCTGTTCACATTCTCGCGGGGCGGGGGGAGGGCGAGCGCTTCTCACAGACCTCTGCTTGGAATTTCACCCTATTTTTTGTTTCACAGACTTTGGTTCTCATCCTGTGTTTGCTGATGTGTCTGAGGAAAAAAAATAAGGGAAAAATAAAGGGGGAGTTTCTATACAAAGTGGCTACATTTTCATTCAGTTTGTTTTATGAGCTTGAAAGCTTTAAATATAAAGTGTCCAGATTACATGGATTAATTAGATGTTTTACGTTAAAAAAAAAAAAAACAAGAAAATAAGTTGCAGAGTATAATATGAAACTCAGCAGGCTTTGATTTTTCTGCCGCGGAGCTATTCAAAAAATAATCATTAAGACGTGAACAGTAAACTGATTCTACGCATACATCAGGGCTAGCAAAGGCAAATGTTTGCCTTTAGATTAGGAGCTCCAGAGCTTTAGCCATTGACTATGGGCTCATGATGCTAATTGAGCTAAATCAGCACCACTGGCGCCAGGCGCGATGGGCCTGGAGGGTGTGGGGCAGCCAGGGGTAGGGGGCCCTGGGGGGCTTCCTGCCCCTCATAGCACCCTCGCCCACGTGGACGGAGGAGTCGGAGCGCCTGTGCCCTGTGAATGTGGCAAACAACACCATTAGAGTTGTCAGACTCCCTGGACCCCCCGCCGGGAACTGAGCTGTGCCAGGTGGGGTCCCATTAGCAAGGCCGGAGGCCTCTTGGGCGGGGCGCCAGGCCCGGGTCCTTTTCTCCAGTAGCTTCTCAGATCGCTGCGAGCAAGAATTCAGTTGTGTCTCCATGTGTCCTTAAACTGTCTCCCACTGGTAACCGGCAGAGACCCGGAGGCAGGGCTCCTAAAACCACAAGCCTCCGGGTGGATTGTTGACACGCTTATTGATAAGGCCCCGAATATCATAGCAGACTAAATACAAGGACGTCTGACATGCCCATGCTGGCAGTGGAAACTTTTTGCTATTCAGAAGTTTCTCCGTTTGCTTCAAAAAAACTGGGTTCAGACATAGGACCTAGGCCCTGAGCCTGAGCGGAGCTGGAGGCCAGAGTCTGGTCTCCCCCACTGCCGCCAGCCCGCCTGACCCTGCTGTGGCCTCAGTGCCACCTGTCAGTTGCTTTGGGGGGAAGCTGTGGCAGGACCAGGGAGACAGCCATCTACCCCCAGGGAGACAGCCATCTACCCCATCTCCAGGGGCCTCCTGCTCAGAGGTAGGATGCAGAGCCCCCCTCCCCATGGATGCTTCCCAGGGTGGGGTCAAGGGTAGAGGGTACGTCTAGGTCCCATACCAGCGCCTGGCCCCAGCAGCCCAGGACCTCTGCACCTTCTGCAGCTGCTGGCAGTGGGGGCGGGGCGAGGTGGGGCCTCCATCTCCCAGGTGTGAAATCCTTTGGCAATTTTCCCACCACATGTTTCATGGGCCTTTCCTGTCCTTCGCTAATATTGATCCTCACAAGTGACAGCCCCAATTAACACCTGAGAACACAGACCTGGCCAGTGCGGGGCGGGGGGGGGGGGGGGGGTGGTGGGGGGGGTGGTGCATAGGAGAGATGGGGGTGGGGGCGGGCACAGCACCCGGCAGTGCCCACCTTCCCTAGCAGGTCCCAGCTCTCAGGAGCTCTGTGCTGCTCCCCCGCTGGCTGTCGTCTTGGTGAAGTCTATGACTACTGATTATTTTTTACTTTCAAGGCTGGAATTACACCAACTCTATTTATCCAGGGATGCATGCTGTCCCTGGAGGGTTAAAATATAAATAGCAGTTTCCAAGCATGCTAATAAATAGATGAAGCTAAGCAAACAATTTCTCAGCTGGCCTCGCGGCCCCTCAGTGGACCCGCCTGGCCGCCGCCGCGCTAATGTGCCCACCGGCTTCTCTGGGCACGCTCTCAGTCTGCAGAGCGGGACTAAAAATAAAATGAACAAGAGACAGGAAACCGGCAGCCATCGCCCAGACAAAGGGCCCTGCCGGCCCGGGGACCAACCCACAGCCCTAGGAGCCCGCCAGGGTAGTCTGGGGGGTGGGCCTTGTCACCTCATGGTCAGGGGAGCACCTGTCTCCCCAGCTGGACGGGGCCGCAGGGGTGTGGACCTAGAGGCCCAAGGCTGGCGTGGCCTCCCATCCCCATGCAGTGGGCAACTGAAGCTGACCCAGGGCGGCCAGGGGCCCTGGCACACCACCTCTGAGCCGGTGGCCCCAAGGGGGCAGGCAAGTCAGGCCCAGCCTGGGGCACCCACGTCCGGGGCCAGGGCTCTGGCAGGGTCTCCCCAGGTGCATGGGCTCTGATGATCCCCAGCCCCAGCCAAGGTCACCAGGACTAACTGGCAGCTGCCAGGGTCCGGTGGGGGCTCTTCCCCTTGGGGCCTCTGTGGGCCTGGTCAGGGGACTCTGGTCACCTGCTGAAGGTGGATCCACCCAGTCCCGAGGTCCCATGACATGCCTCCCTGGTCTGGGTTGGCCCTGGTGCTGCTGATGGGCCCTTTCCCTCGGTGCCCAGGGAAGCCAGGGATGCCCTCCTACCCGCCCCTGCCCAGGCCATCCCAGGGCCTCAGCCCTAGATCCCTGGCCCCCCACGCAGGCCCCATCCCGGCTATGCGGCCCGGGCTTCCATGCACCTGCGGCTGTAGCGGCAGAACCCAGCCCATCACGGCAGAGGCGGCTGAGTCCCCAGCACAGCGGGACTGCACCGTGGAGAGGCCGCCGCAGCCCAGGTTCTCTCCCCAGCTGGTGGCCTGGCCATTCTGGGAGCAGGAGCCACGGGCCAGAGGGCAGGCCTGGGGGAGCAAGACTCCACAGGACCAGCCTGAGGATGGAGGCCAGTGGGCAGAAAGAGGGGCAGGCAGCTGGGGCCCCAGAGAAGCCCCCTGGGGGTGGCAGTGGGGCCCACAGCCCCAGGTACAGGGTTTGGGGGATCCAGAAGGGTTTGGTTGAACTTGAAACTGCTGCATGGACCTGGTGGCCACGGAGACACGGTGGCAAGGAGGCGGCGGTGGTGAGGGAGGTGGCAGACCTCCCGTGGGCTCCTGGCACTGGATCGCCAGCCCTTGGGCCCTCTGCTCCAGAGTTGGGGTCCAGGCTACAGTTTCACTGTTTCCACTCCTCCTTGTCTTGACCCCAAACTAAAAAGGTGGTAGTTTAGAATCTAAAGAATTCTTCAGGTTCCTCCCCAGACACGGTCCAGGTAGCGCTGAATGGCTTGGCCGGTCTCTGTGTTTGGCCTCCATTTTGGTCTAAGCACAGTCACACTTTTCCCACAAGATGGGGGGCTGAGAGGTGGGGGGAGTGAGTCACACCATGGAAATAACCCATTGGAGCGGGTTCTGTTTTCACGCCTAGAGGTGATTTTCTAGTAACCATTGGTCTGATCCAGCCCCTCGGCCTCTCCATGCGGCAGCCTCCCCGGCCCGACTGGCACAGCTGAGCCCGGTGGCGCGGGGGCATCCCTCTCAGCTGCCTGGAGGGTCGACTTTGTGAAAACCGAGACTTGTTTATGGAAAGAATGGGCCTGTCCATCTGACAACGCCTCGACCCTTTTTATTTGCTTCCTTGGGAACGAGGTTTGGAAGGAACCTGGCCTTGGATTTCCTCTTGGCCTCTATGACCCAGCCTCTTCACAATACGAAAAGAAAAGCACAGGAACCAAACCCCAGGCCCTTGTCTGTGAAAAGACCGGTGTCCTGCATTCCTGAGAGAGTTGCTGACATCGAGAAGCATCTAGAAGTCTGCTGACAGCCGATTAGGCTGACGTGGGCCCTCCGGATTCCATTCCATTCCTTTTTAAC